CAGAAAATGAGTTAAAAAAATAAAAAAGTTTCTCATGTTTTACATCCAGGCACGCATGCCAGTGAGTTTACAATGAGAGAACTCTCATTCAGTCTTTGCACAACACGTCAGACGTTTTAAACAAGAGGAGCTGGAACACAAGAGCAACGGTTCGGTGACAACATTTAGGCATTGTGCATTTATGCTTGGCTGCTCTGGACTGAATAAATCTGCTCTGTCACCAGTTCCCATCCAGTCAATATGGACCAAAAGCATGCTGCTGTAGTTGGTGCTGCCATTTGATTAAAAGGTCTATTTTAACATGATTTCTTACCTGTGCCCACTGTTGATATTCAGCCTAACCAATTAAAGCAAGCTTGTTATCATTTACCAGATCACTTACATTGGAGAACTTGAAGAGTTTAGCCTCAGCACAGCCTTGTTATTCTGACAATACACTGAATCACTCATTGATTGCTGTGGAAAAACATCAATGAGCAACAATTGATTGGTACAATGGAATTTCCTATGCACATTTCAATCTGCATGTGCCATAGAGAGAGAAAAACCCCTAAGACATCGTCTACTGGAAATACCAGGGTCAGTGTGACCTTCAAACCAACACAGCCCCCATGGATTTCAAAGTGCAAAAGTTATTTCCTTCCCATTAAAACTAAACAGTGCGGCTACTGGGAATATAAGCTGACCGCGGCATTTAATTAAAAACTTGGAAGACCCTCACATGCATATCTGCCAGCAGCTGTAATTTTGTGGTGATGAAACGTACTAGTCTCCCATTATTGCAAAAGATTTTTGAAATTAAGACCCAATATATTTGAATAAAGGAAAACAATGAGCCCTTTCTGCTGCACAACGCTTTTCATCACCAACTACTTCACGACTGGATATGAAAACGCTTATCAGTTCCTTCCAAGATTAACTTATAGAGAAGAAGTGCTTTTCACCATAAATTTATTTACCACAACAAAAACTTAGACCAAGTGTCAGAACATCCTTTCTTGTGGTAAGGACATTTCCAAATCTAGCCTGTATCCACATCTTTGAAAAGTACTTGATCAAAATATTTTTAAACTCATCTGCAACATACCTCAAGAAGATTATGTGTTTATGTCCCATCATGTAAAAAAACAGGGCAGAGAGAACATCCCAACTCTTAAACGAATATTAATACAACACCGTGCATCAATGCAGTGGCAGTTTAGTAGAAAAAACAAAAGGACGCAAAGACGGTGTCAGACTCAACAAATCCAAAAAAAGTTTCAAACCTTTCTTTATAAAGTTTACTGACATTTTTCTTAAAACTACTTGCTTGATGGAAAAAAAAAAACTTGCCTGATTTTTCCATTTACCAATTTCCTACCTCAATAAGAAATTAAATAATTTTCACTTTCTTAATATTAAAGTTTTATCATAATATATTCTGTTTACAACTATTAATTGCATCCCAAAATGCTGCTTTTATTTAGCACTTTAACCTCAGCAGTGTTCTGTTAAGAGCTTTACAACGCATTCTCATTCATTTATGAACACATTATACATCTACAGCACTTTTATATTCCCACTTGAACGTTGATTAGCAAAAAGAGGTCAGTGGAGTGTACAGTGACCTAAAACATGTCAACACATTGCAGGGGGGGAGGACTGAACTCCAGTAGACCTCCCTACCACAAGCTACGGATCATGTACGTTTTAGAAATATTTTCCATTAATAGCAAGTCTTCAGAGGACTGACTTTGGGACGGCTTGTTATTCTACAGAGAGAAAGCAGCATGACTGTGATGCATTAGGTCTGCTGCTGCTACGAGTCACTTTGAAGCTCATCACTCGTTAACCTTGACTTTTTTGAAGGCTGTGTGTTGTCATCAATGGACGTTTCTTTACAATGACGAAATTCGTTCTCTGCATTTAACCCATCACACCTGAGATGCACCCAGGTGGAGCAGCAGCAGCTATGCAAGCGCCCAGGGAGCAGTTAGGGATTAAGTGTCTTGCTGAAGGACACCAACATGTGGGCATGGCCGGGAGTTGGACCTGCGACTTTCTGGTCCCAAGTCGGCTGCCCTACACCATCTCGACCCCTAAAGTCATTGTTGAGACTGCTTCTCCTTTCAAACAGTTTGAGGAATCACTACATCGTATCACGTGCCTTTATCTAACCTCATCTTTGAGCATCCTCCTCCGTCACACCAACACTATTTGCGTCCTTCACCCACACACTTTGTGTCAGTTTAAAAATAATCTTTTTGCTTTTTATGTTTTTATGTTCCAGGCATGGCTTCAAGTCACAGCCATTTGAGAGCATTTTTTAAGGCTGTGCAAATTAAATTTCCTATTAAACAAGGAACTACAGTACCAGTAAGACATGAACATGTGCATCCTGTATCCGTTGGACAATTAATTGGCTACAAACGTCTTCAGATGCTCTTAAAAACAACTTTTTTTATTATTATCTGAAGTACTTATGAGTAGTACTTTTTGTTTTTGATTGGTACTGAAGAAGAAAACAAATCATTTGTGAATCAAAACATTTGTCACGAACACAACCTAAATAAAAATGTTTTGATTTGCAACATTTTGGTCATAAAATGACGATTTAGATAAACATCAGTGAACTCTTTGGTACAAGACAATGGTCTAAAAAGTTTGTTGTTAATTCTAAATTTACTAAATTAAGTCTCGCAATGCAAATCTGCAAAAAAGAGAATATTTAGAAGAAATATGTTGAAGGACAAAAGTGAGGCATTTGGTTTGCAGAGAGATGTCTGACCCACGCTCCAGACCTCAAGGTCAAACTGAAGCCCAAACCTCATCGTCCAACATGTCCAACCTCATCGTCCAACTCATTGTACGGCATGTTCAACCTTAAC